CTGGACCGGAAGCCAGCATCTCTGTCACTTCACTTCCCTCTGTGCTCTTTCCCAGCACTTTACAGCTTCTAATGACCGTTATTTCTTAGTGCAATGCTATGGTAAGGGCTGTCTGGGGTGACAGTTAATATTTATTAGGCAATGAAATTATAAAAGGTATTATAATATTCAAGATGCAGACAGTCTGAATGTGCACATCTAGAGACTTCTTAAAATTTGTCTAAGTCATCTCCTAAATTAAAATACGTAATTAATGATTTAAATGACACCCATTCCAATTGATGTCGTGGCTAAAGGCAGACCGCATAGTGGCTATCTTCAGAAACTCTTGGGTTCCAGCACTGGTATTTCCTAGCTTTGTCATCTGGGGCATGTCACTCTGTCACTTATGCCTTTCAATGCCTTGATTCCCCCATTTGTAAGCGGAGACAGCAATAGCACCTACCTTCATTGGATAATACAAAGATTCAGTGAGATAATGCAAGTAAAATTCTAACCACAGTTACTGGTATGGTGACAAACCCAATGAATATCATCTAGTATTATTACTGTTGTCACTGTTTGTTATATGATTACTATTATTCAGACTATATCAAGGTTGGTTGCTAGCTATTAATTTATAGGTCCTTTCAGTCAGGCCAGGCCCCTGCACCATTGAGTCCTCTTTCCTGTCCTTCCTTTTTAAAATGAGGTGATTGATCAGGTTTATCTCCAAGAATCCTCCAAATTATAAAATACTGTGCATTATTTTTAGTTGAAATTTAAAACCAAAATTTCTTCAGCTAAACACTCTAGAATCGTAGCTGTTGAATTATAATGCATAATATATAGCAAAGTCATTTTTTCCAAAGTGGGAATACAGAAAAACGATGTTACTGAAATTGAGAAACTGTCATACTTTAAATACTGCTTAATAGTTACTATTTAAGGGAATAAATCAAAATTTCCTGGAAACCAGGTTAGCATAATATAGTACAAGACATCTAGCATAAAATATACAACTGCAGGTTTTCTAAAACTTGCAACATCCTCTGATCAGTGGTTCTCAAAGTGCTGTTGCTAGACGGGCAGCATTAACATCACCTGGGGTACTCATTAGAAATAGAAATCCCAAGGCCTCACTTCAGACCTGCTGTGTCAGAACCTCTGCAGGCAGGTTCCAGTAGTCTGTGTTATAACAAGCCCTTCCAGTGATATTGCTAAAGATTGACAACCATGGGTCTAAGCGAAAAAAATGGAAAAGCATTGTCTGCTTCTGATAAACATTTACTGAAGCAGCTGAAACTGAAATTAAATCTGGCCTTAGAAGACATCTAAGCTCTGCTAAAGATAATTAAAAGTCAAGTTACCAATCAATTGACAGAAAGGAGGGTTAAGGAGTCATTCTCAGTTATTCCCACTAGAGAAATAAGGTATTAAGAAGGTTAAAGCCAAGTTCAGTAAAGTCATCAGAGACTATCAGTGCAATGATTCCTCCTTAGCATAGAGAACCAGATGTTCTCTGTGCTGTCTCCTATGGGAAAGAAATAAGCTATTACTCTTCTCATTAAAAAACAAAACAAAATTTAATACCCTGATTTATGAAGGTCTACAGTAAATATGGAAGAAAATATTTAATGATCTATGCCCATCTATTTGTCTGGCAAGACCTAGATCTTTTCATTAGGTGCTGCAGTAAGAAAATCATTTAATATACTAAAAATCACAAATCTTTAAACCATGTATAAGGTCAAGAAGAAAAAAAAAATCAGTGTCAGAACTGCAGGAAAACAAAGTGATTTTATTTGCTTCAGTGTCCTCTTTACCATCTACATAACAATTCCAGATCCCTTTCTTAAATCCAACATTTCTAATTAACTCTAGATACTAAAACCAATAAATCAAAAAAGTATATATGTCCAATTTGGTCCCATAAGTCTTTTCTCATAGGCTTTATCTCAGTTAATGGTGTTCGTTTTTTTCAAGGTATCAACGCTTCGACATTCTTCCCCTTTTTCTTCAAGCCCTTCTGCCCTCTACCTATTAACTTTTCGTATTTGCCAAATCCAACTGATTCGACTTCATAATTTTCTGAGGATCCATTTTCTTTTCATCTTTTTAATTCTGACAGCCTTTATTCATTTTCCCATGATACTTTTCTTTTCCGTCTTTGGACCTTAAGACTCTTGAGAACAGGAAAATGTTTCCTCCTCAATGCCCAGCACAAGGCCTGGCAGAGCAGGCATTTGGAAATTGTTCCCCAGTGAATGTCCTTAAGCGTAGACAAATTCATCTGAAATCTCACAGCCCCCATGATCTGAGGAAGTCTTATGGGATCTTTTTTCCAGAGAAATAAGTTAATATGTGACAACTTTCTAAGAGTCTATTTTGAATACACACTTCTCACATTTTTAGAAACTACTAAGTGTTCTAAAAATCAGATTTGGAATTTTTAATTAGAACCTCTTTCTTTATTCATTTTAGGATGTTACATTTATTTTGTCCAGTTGGATCATTGTTTTCAGGCTTTATCAATCAGCTTCAATGACCTCAACAAAATGAATGACAACGTGTCCCAGAGTCTTTGGAGATACCCTGAGTATGAAAATTAGGTGAATTAAAATAAAACACAAATGGCTTTCAATGATCACAATAATAATCTAAGGAATTACTCCTTAGGAGAGAAAAAAAGACCTATCAAGAATGTATTTGCTACTTATAACACAATGATTTATGGAAACTGTCATTCCAAAAGATGTTGATCTTCCTTAGGAAATGAATTACCTAAGAAAATCACAAATAAACAGCCAGGCTCTAATGGGATTTGATACAGCCCATTTTGATGCTGCTAAAACTTCTGTTTTCATTGTGCAAGATACCAAGAATTCTGAAGTAGACTGAAATTACTCTTTCAAATTTATAAAGTTCAAACAAAATAATACAATTTTTGTTTATTCTCAGTGCTTTCACTGAAGAGGAATTCTAGAATGTACAAATAGAAAAGGAATTCTTGGCTAGCAGTCTGATACAAGAGAAATCTTCCAGAAACACATAGCCTGGGAAATTTCAGACTCCTGGCAGATTGCAAACCTTTACTGCCTTTTATTAATAATCAGGATCCAGATCAAATGCCTCTAAGGAGCCAACACCTACTTATGAGGCTAGAGTTTAGTGCAGAAGTTGAACATCTTCCAACAAACACTCTCATAATACCAGACATCTTCTCCAGACACAAAATTATTCTGGTCAGTACAAAGGTCATTGACTAAAGAGACACTGAAATTTATGGCCAGTGTTCTCTAGAAAATAGAACTAAGAAGGTTCTTTAGTAATAAACATGAAAAACATGTTCAGTGGCAGTTTTATTCTATAGACTTGCTGCAATCTTGAATGATTTGCATCATAGCTGAAACATCTGTCTTATGGTTGCCTATCTGATCATAAATTAAGAGAGTGTACCATATAATATCATTTCTATTAGAAAATGCAAATATGTTAGAGGTGCAGCTGTGGAAAGAATTTCAGAATCACAAGGAGACTCAAGTGGCAGCACCTAAACCTACACAGATTAAAAACACTCCCAGTCATTCCTGTCTGTGTTCTGTACCTCCTTAGTGGTGAAAGACTGGGATATAACATGAAATATGTCTTTGGATATTACCATTACCTGTCTATCCCAATTAAGGTTAGTTCACATTTGAAAGGATACAAGAAACAAGCACATCCTCAGAGCAGGAAAAATTTACCAATATAATGAGAGTAATCCACAAATAACTGTTTATGAAAGAAACAGCAAAATGCCCACAAAGCAAAGGCAGAAAGGTATTGTTGCTATGGAGTGTTGTTTTATCAAAGTTTTAGTTCAGGTAAGGGAAAGGAGTGAATGGGGGTGAAACATATAAAGGGACCATAAAAACATAGCCTTTTCCCGGCAGACAGGGACATTCTGCTATAAAGTTATTTTCCCAATCATGGCCAAGATTCTGATAAAAATCCTTCAGGAAAGCAAGAAGAGCTTGCTTGTAAAAGAATGTCACTCCTCCTAACAGTCTAGCATTTGCAGAGACAGAGATGTGTATATTATCAAATAGGGTAGAATTTGCTAGAGCTGAAATAACATCCATTTTATAAGATTTTACTTTAAAAGACAGATTTTTGAACCCCTGCAGAATCTGCAATGTCTTTGCAATTAGTCCATTAGTCTCAATGCAAGGAAGTGACCAGTTCAGTGTGAAAGGAAAAAGGATCAAATAGATAATTCAGACACAAGGCAGTTACAAAGGGAAGAATGCAGATAGACAAAAACAGACTCCTTATTCATTCCAGTCTATGATGTCTCTACTTCCTTAGTGGTAAGAGACAGAGAGATAGAAAAAAAACCGCATTGTATTTATAATTGTGTGCCATTTTAGTTTATTTTCTGTTGATAACCATAAGGTATAGGCACATTTGCACCATTAGTAAATTTGATATAGTTAAGTCTATATCCAGAGTTCAGCTCTCATAGTAACCCTTTTCGTTCAACTCTCAATTTAAAATAATCTACTAAAGTTTGTTAAAGGATAATATCAAATTTGGATGATACAACTCACTTTTGTAGTAAGCTGCAGAAGCCCAGAACAGGCAAGCAGGTTAAATAAGAAAATAACAAAACAAATTCACCGTCTGATAGTGTAGAATGTGAGAAAATGAAAGACAAGAGGAAAAACACCCACACATACACATAAAGTTACAAGCAAGCTATGTTGAGCATCACACGGAAACGTTTCCAATTTATGAGAAGTCTACTCAGGTTACTTAATTTTGCTTTAGCTCTCACAATTACTTATGATTCTCCAGGGCAGAAAATGCAAGTGGATGTAACTATCATAGGACATGAAGGGTTTACGTAAGAGTAGTTTTCTGCTATAACGTAATTCAGATTTTGAATCTTATATTTCTTAACTTTTCAGGGCATTTGCAAATGTAAAAACAAACAAACAAAAAACCCTTCTGCAGATAAAATAAATTTTTGCAGGTACCTGTTTTTCTCCACTAGGTTTTTTGTGGTTCAACAACAGCTCAACAGCTCCGACGACTTCTTTTCTGATAGCATGTAACAGAGCATCTCCAACATACACATTGAAGCTCAAGAGTAGTTCGATGAGCTCCAAGTTCTCATTTTCAATGGCAATGAGGAGAGCAGTTCTTCCGAGAGGATCAATGCAATTAATATTGATTTTAAAATAAATTTCAGCTTCCTCTAGCGATTTCTTGACACTGGCATAATCTCCCTTTTCCACAGCATTCAAGTAGGCTTTCTCTGATGGTGAGAGTTCGGATTCTGCTCTTACTATCCTTAGTGGAATGCGATCTCTATAGGGAGCATTAACATTTCTTTTGTAATAGAATTGAGCCATGTTTCATGCCATGCTATTTCTTTGTCTCTGAAAGTAGAAACACAAAACACGAAGATTAATGTTAATTTGCTTTTAAAATTGTTAAGCATCATACTTCTTTTCCATCTCACAGTGATATCAATAACAATACCATTATTAGTAACTATTAAGTGTTAAAGTTTTTTCTTAAACAATAGAAATGCTAAATAGCTATTAATTATATTGAAACAAATTCTTCTAAGATAAACGAAAAGAGGTTAACATTTGGTAAACTATTATAAAAGTTATTCTAAAAGTGAATTTTATCTGAGAATGCATTTAGAGTTTTGGAAATTATTTACAAAGTTTATAATAACTGTATATACTTTTCAGACAATCACTTTGAAAATCAGAGGCCATATTTTTGAGATCTCAAAACTAGACCAAGGATATTCAAATATATCATTCATTGTCAATTTTGCTAATTGTGAAAATGCTATTGAGATTATGTAATACCATTATATTTGCAAAATATTGTTAATTTGTCTTTTTTTTTTTGGTAGAGTCAGAGTTTTGCCATGATGCCCAGGCTGATCTTGAACTCCTGGGCTCGAGAGATCCATCTGCCTTGGCCTCCCAAAGTGCCAGAATTAGGAGCATAAGCCACTGTGCCTGCCCCCTATACTTAATGCTAATACGTACTGACATCAAAATTAATGTAAATTAACAACATTAATGTCAAATACTGAGCCCAATGAACATAGTATTTTTTTTCTCTCCGTAAGTTCATTGACGGGGAAAAACGCATACTGATAATATTAATCATCAAGATGAGTCTCAGCAATTCAATTTCCAAAAGAATAATTGGAAAGGATTAAATGGAGAGATAATTTATCATAAAAATGCTATTGTTTTCATTCTACTGCCTTTATAAAATAACAATAAACCACAAGGCAGGAATGTATTTATTATAAAATTTATTATTTGAAAGTTAGAGTAAGAACATAGTTGAATATGAGAAAATTAATTCAGATAAATGAAAGCTCATCTTACAATAAATTAACAAAGGTGCTGGAAAGTATGTTGATCTAGTATCATCCTAGTGATAGAGATTTATAGAAAAAAGTATTACTCCTTGAGTATGATTTATTCATTGCTGTTAGTTCCTCATACATACTTATTATCTAAATTATTTTTCTATGTTATTTAAATTGAACTCACATATTTATTTGCATATATTTGCTCTGCAAAATGAAAATGAAATTCAAATACTTAGGGTATTCTAAGTACTTAAACATGCATATTCTTTTTAATTGATCTTTTTAACCCTAATCATTTTATGAGCAAATTAATTTGACTTGAATAACGTTTTAACCATAGATTAAACATGAATGACATTAACAAACATGATTATATTTAATAATATTGTCATTTTGGGAAATTTTACATTATTTGTAAATTACCTCAATTTATTAATAATTTTAATTATCAAGGAATTAAGTTTTACCCTTTGACATCCAGATAATTTATCATAATTTCTCAGATATCTAGGTGTACGAACTAATAAGAAAAACTATTATTTTATCATTTGTATCTCTCTGGCATGTTACACACAGCATTTTGGAAAGATACCGTCACAGACCGAGCGAAAAGTGCGTGTTCCATATGGATTAGTTTTAGATGCCAATGACTTACTCGAAGCCTGATTGTAACCTCAGTATTTTGGGGATGCTTTAACTCGCTCTAGAACAACAGGAATAGCATTTATATTATAGAATAACAAGGACAATTGAATATTCCTCCAATATCACTAAAACTTGAGTAAATCAATGTGACTATGATTCTATCTATGTCCTTGTGATTCTCTGAACCCCAATGCCATTTTCTGCATCAGTGATGCCATTACAATGTTGACCTTGGAGAAAGGTGGCTGACACTCCCTTCCTCGGCACCTTTTTTCTGAGTCCCAGGGCAGAGTCTGTAACAATGGGTAGGATCAATGCCATGACCTTCACATTGTAATTTTATCAAGACTAATGCCTAAATGCTTCATAATGATAATGACAGGTATTTATATTCATTTTCAGCATTACACATACTCTTTATAATCTCACTTCTTTATTATCCATAACTCTTGGAAAAATATATGAACTTTTATTTTGGAGTTGAATTTAAGTTTTCCTACCAATAATATTTTTAGCTTGAGACCAGTGTTTGAATGTAGCTCACCCAAAATGCAGTTTAAAATGAAAATACACACCATTTACACACATGCACGCACACATTAGTTCTGCATGTGAATTATGCTTCAATCACAATTAAGAATCATGCTAGAGAATAAAAAATATTTTGTTTTTATTGAGTTAATTTTGTTAATAATGCTACCAAATAAAACATTAGGTGGAGAACAGCATTTTATTTCTCATTGTCAAAGTACAGAATGTCAATGACAATAGGGACTAGTGGACAAAACAGAAGCTACTGGAGAACTTGGAGGAAAAGGGAAGAAAAAAATAAATTAAGCTTATTAGTATCTATTTCATTTAATCCAGATAACTGCTATAAATGTGAACCACATAAGTTCATTGTAAAAAGAGTGACACTACATAAAAAAGAGAGATATATTTTAGTCAACACTATACCTAAGAGATGAAGGGCATATGAGATATTTGCATTAGGTAATCTATTTCTTTATCCATAAAGTAATGAAATCAACACTTACCAAAAAAACAGGCAAGAAGATAAGAATGAAAGCATTAGTGCTGAGAAAGATATTTTATTAACTTTTATGAATAAAAGTTAATATCTTTCAGTCTCTTTGATTTGGAAAAAAATGTAAGAATTTATTTTAGGAAGTCTATACATATTTTAAGTACATTTAAAATGTAATACTTTAAATAAGTAAAATTTAAATATTTACAATTGAATCTTAAAACACAGGGAGAAACACACACATGCACACACACAGACAGAGGAGAGAAAAAGAGAGAGAGAGAAATGGGCAGACTTCGATGGTTAAAACCTTAGCATAAAAGATTATATAATTTTTCAGCACATAGATTTGTCCTTGTTGATTACTTGGGATGCAAGGGTACTAACTGAAGGACAAAAAAATCAAGTTTAACATTTTAAACTGTGCTATATGAATGCAATAGCAAGTGGCAGGCGCTGATAAGGCTGATGGAGTCTTTTGCTGACACACTTATCAGCTATGGAATTGCTACTTGATAGAAAGGCTGTTAAAGAACGTGAGACCAAGTATTGCAAATATGTTGATCTATAATGTCAAAATAAAAGATTGTTCCTGGTCCTCCACTTTTAGAATGAATTTTGGAGGGGAAATGATTTCTCCTTCCATGAGATTGCAGAATTTTAAGAATCCTTTCATTTCAATGTCTCCTGTATAACACCAGAAGTGAAATGACTGATCTGTCAAATTATATTTAGAAGATTTGGAAAAGAGATGAGGAGTTAGGGGGGTAAAAACTCAACTTCTGAGATGTGGCTTTTTAAATGAACTAAAATTTATTTCCCCTCAGTGTGTTGAGGATTAAAAACAAAAATAGAAGAATGTAGAGACAGCTACAACTTGACATTGATCCAAAAAGAAATCAAAATTGTCACAAAATCTGAAAACTACAGTTTTCTAAGCAACATAAAGATATACAACAAAAAATGTTAGTTATTTATATGAATCGGAAGGCATAGTGCCTAAAGGACAAGTTTAGTTGTACAGTGGATAGAGCAGTGATTTTGAATTCCAAAGAACACAAAGGAAAGGAATTATTTAATATATAGAGATCTCCATTTCTTAGTATATATTACTAAAGGGGAAATGAATTTCCCCAAAGAACATTTTCTTTTCTTCCCTAGTTGACTGTGCAAAGATACATATTTACAGGTGTGACCCCATGACACAGTAAGAAACAATTCCTATTTGTTATTAAGATACTGTCACACATATGTAAGTTGCATCTGTACTTTGTCTGGAATCTAATGTGAAATACTGTTTTCCCAAATAGTGCATACACACTCCATCCAATTCGAATTTTTTCTTGATGTTGTATGTATGATCTCAATAATCTTTCACATAATATACTCCATATAAAAGCATAATGCTCTGATTTTTGCTATGACTCTGAATTCCAGACCCTTTCCTAATTTCCTTAGGCAAGAAACAATACATATGTTTCAGTACCTGCAAGCTTTACATAAAACGTATAGCATATTGACTGAAATGATTTAGTATTTAGTCCAGTCAAAATTTAACAAAACATTTTCTCTTGTTTTGATGTGGTCAAAGCACAATGAACTACTAAATTTCTTTGAAAAGTTTTAGAGACATTTCTGTAAACCATGAAGATCAGTTTATATTACTCAACAACAACAAAAGTACTTTACTAAAATATTTTGACATTTTATCCTAGGATTTTAAAGATGAAAATCAAGATTATACTTATTTTCAAAATTCAAGCCCCTTGGATTTAACAAGTGCCACCTAAAAATCTAAACTCTATCTCCATTTTAATTTCTTTTAAATTTTATTTTTCTCATCTTCTTTGTGAGGGTATATTCCCATTTTTAAAATACACATATTGAGGGAAATGGTATAGGCAGGGCAAAAACAAAAAATGTTCTTTAGCTGGATTTTTACCTCATGGGATTTAGAAAACATATGTTCAAAAAAATAATACGTAATAGTCAAAGTCTGAAACTCTACCCTGAGATTTAGAAAATATGCATCAATCCATTACTCTTTTTTCCTCTGAATTCAAAGGAAAACATGTTATTTCCTCCTTCCAGCAGCTAATCTTGATGTCTGAGCTTCCATCCATTCCCATTTCTCTATATTTAACACCAACCTTCACCCTGTTTCATACCTGAAGCCTCTTTCTGCAAACCGTCTTCTCCTCACATCACAAATCTACTTAATTTTCATTATTTTTAATTGTAATTATCTTTGGTAATTCTCTCTGTCCTAGCTCAGATTTTCTCGATTTTATAAACTTTAAGCTCATCTTCCACTTACTCATTTATTCTCTCTAACATGGTGCTTATCCTCATCAGGA